AACCATTCTTCCACCACACTACCCAAGTAAACGGGTACCCAGTAAATCTTGTGGAGCTAAGCCTACAATCATCCAAAGCCTCCTAAAATTTTTCATATGATATTAAGGTCGTTCTCGTCTACCTTGCTTTTCTTTAGGAAGCAAAATCTCATTAAAATCTCCAACTACCACCCAAGCACCTTCAATCGTGTGAGATAATCTGCGTAATAACTCCCAAGAATGGTTTCATTGTTGAGTATCAAGATGCCCATAAAACCAAGTAAAATAAAATTATGAGTCATTTGAATCAGTTATCAGAGAATGAATGTGACCAATTGAGTAAGATAACAACCGCACATCCTAACTACCGCTCCAGAACAAAACCAAACCTCCCCCAAAACCCACTTTCGCAACCTTAACTGTCCCTTCCATTCCAAGTTGTATTCGTTTATTTTCCATCTAATTTGAAGTCATTTTGGTTTCCATCAGGAAGACCAAATCGGGTTTTTTCTCTCGCAAAATGTTTTTGAGAGAGTGGAATGTCCGAGGAGCCCCAAGACCTTGGACATTCCAGTTTAAGATCCTCATAGCTTGCTGATCCCACCACACTGTCTGTAAAATCATTCATATCTTCTCCCTCTTGACACAGGCCTCCCTTCATCCATTATCTCCATTACTCCCATTTTTCCAGTCAAAGCTCTAACTTCGTTGAGTTCCCCCTCACGTGAATTGGTTGATTCACATCTTGTCCTTGCCTTACGTTTCCACGACCCTCTACCACTCTTTAAGTTGGCATTGATTTTATTCTTTTCTCCTGCATGTACTTCATACTGCATAGGGTCCGCCAATTTTTTTGTTTCAAATTTAGACCCTGATCCAACATTCTTTTGTGCCCTACTAATAGTGTTTGCGAGCCCAGAGTTACCCAGCCCACTTGCAATATTATTGGTTGGATTGTGCGCATGAATATTTTGCAATGATTCACGCACATCCTTATCAAGGGTAGCATTAAATCTAGCTACTACGGTTTGATATCCACATCCTCCTTAAATGCCTGTGTCTCTGCAGCTTTCATTTTGTGAGTATCGCTAATTATTTTCTCCTAAATTGCATTACTCACCTCTTCAATCCTAATGGAGTTTGGTAATAACATTTCCATATCAATCATGTCATGATCTGATGCCGCCTCCCGTGCCACCTCTTTCTGTGCTCTCTGCATAAAGAGTTCCCCCTATTCACATTCTTGCCACGTTAACCCTATTTGGAGAGTTCCCCAAGCACCCACTACTGGCATCTCCTCCTCCTACTGCCGCCTCCCATGCCACCTGTTTCTGTGCTCTCCGCCTCTCCTCCTCCTCTTTTCGTTTACGCATCAGTCCCACAAAAGATTTAGCCACCCTCTCCTCTTTAGATTTTTCCTTCTGTCCCCCCTTCTCCACCTTTTTCCCCTTCATACAATTCCCTTCCTCATCACTTTTCTGTAAATTTTTTGGTGTTGATGGGGTCTCCTTGCATAAACAGCCTTTCTCTATTGACTCTAGGCCCTCCATCCCCTTTTGACCCTCGCATATGATTGGTGCAAACTATTCTTTGAATATTGTGGTCCTGAGTTCCATTACCTTCATCGCCGTCACGTCTACTCAAACCACCACCATTGGATCTCTTAGGACTACTTGCCCTTATAGTGATAAAATCATCGGTGCCCTTTAATCATGTCCTATAAGGCTTTTCGCGTGCTTGCCTGGTTGCTTGGTAGACAAAAGAGCAATCCTTGAACACATGACCTACTCTACCGTACACAACATAGAATTCTAGCAATTGTTCGTATCGAAAATCTACAAACTATGTGTTTGCAGAAAGTAGAATCACCTTTTTTCCTTGTCGTAACTGCTTGGAGACATCCAAACAAACACGAATCCTAAAAAAGCTAACCAAACACTCCCGATCCATGCCCTCTGTTACATCCAAACACCATCTACGACTATTCCCAACTTGTCACCCCATATTTACCGTCATACAACTCAATGGTACATTATGGACTTGAATCCAGAATTCTGCATATTTTACATGCATTTTTGATTGAGCAACACTACCATCAGGAATCTCAAGTAATACTAGAGCTTTATCAAAATTCCAAGGCCTACTGTGCAACAACTTTAGTCGATCTCCTTCAGTCGCAAAGATGAACAAAAAGGGATTTTCACCTAAATCTTTCACCACCACCTCACTAGCCGTGTTCCAAATCTTCAACATCGTTTACTTGAATGTCTCCTAGCTGAAAACATTTGTTGTAAAGACTTTTCCAACCAGGCTCGTCTTGAGTCATTCCCCCACGTCATTAGCATCATTTTGTCCTACCTGAATCGCATCATTCTCATCCTCAGTTAGGATGAGTACTTTCTCCAATGAATTTATCACCTCTTCCAAACTAGTGATATAGAGGGGTTTATCATTCTTACCAAACTAGTGATATAGAGAGGTTGCCCTCTGTTACATCCAAACACCGTCTACGACTATTCCCAACTTGTCGCCCCATATTTACCGCCATACAACTCAATGGTACGTTATGGACTTGAATCCAAAATTATGCATATTTTAGATGCATTTTTGATTGAGCAACCCCTCTATATCACTAGTTACCCTAGACAAACCAGGGATGGAAAACCCTAAAAAAAACTCTTGTTAGGGGTGAAAAGCTCTTACCCTAAAGGAATAGAGATTTTAGAGAGAAATGACCCAAAAGTCAAGTTTAATGCTTAGTTTTGAATTATGCTTAGTTTGTATTTTGTATTGAATTAGGCTTTGTTTTGTAATGAATAATGCTTTGTTTTGATGTATGCAATGTTTTAAATAAATAGCTATATTATTGAATGCTTTCTTTTTTCAATAAAAGACAATCAATACAACTAATTAAGAAATGACAACTCTATCAATACAACCTAATGGTTTTCGTCATTTAACTAATCCATGTTGCTAGGTCCATCGTCATGAAAAAGTCTTCTTCTCATAACATCCCTTCGTTCTTGCTTCCAAAATGACTTTGTTTCAAGGGACATATGGCTCGTATCCATGGCCATGGTTTCACGATCTTTCTTGTCCATGTCTTCTTTGTGTGCATACTCCATTTCTCTTGCAAATGCTTCATCTCTTGCCTTGTCAGCCTCATCTCTTTTCATGTCTCTCTCAATTCTCAGTGCGCCATTGATAGCAATTTGCTCCAAAATTTTTGCACATTCATTGTTCGAAGTGCTCCCTTTCTTGGCCTTAGCTACCTTTTTCCTAGTAGGCCTCGACTCTCTTTGGATTGGTGAGTTTTGATTCATTGGAGAGTCCAACATCAAATCCGATGTCTGTTTATCATGGAGCGGCTTCGCATTCAACACAACGGTCAGACCCGTGGGAATAATTTTGAATCTCGAACAATTGTTCACAACCTCCCAACATTGGTGATTGTTGAAAGATTTTTTTGCCTCAGCCAATGACACCAAACCACATTTGTGTTTGAATAATCTATAATATAAAAAATTTTGGAAATGTAAGAAAATATAAAAATATGACATTAAATTTAATAAAAACGCAATTACAAAAATTTTACCTCGTCGCCAAGATTTTTGCCTCTTCAAACGTTGTCCCTCGCTTTTTCCAACACATCTCTTCATTTCCCTAACTCTTTATTCAAAAATTTCCACCTACTAGCCAAGACCATTTCCTTACGAGGCAAACCTGATCTTTCACAAAATTCTCCATGAATTTTTCTCCACATATGAGATAACTTCATATCATTGCCAGTGATCGGGCAATGACCAACTTGGACCCAACACTCACACAACAAAACATCTTCCATGGTTGTCCATGAGCCTCCGGCTTTGATGGAAGAGGTTATTTGTATTTTTACACATATGAAAAATTTGGTGTGGAAAGTGAATAATATTGGAAGGCGAATATGAAGATTTCATGTGGAAAGTAAATAATATTGGTAGGTATTCATAGAGAAAAAAAATTCAGAATTTTTTAGTATTTTTTTCAATTTTTATTATATAAAAATTAACAGTCGTTGGATGGCAATGAAAGAATGGATCGGACACCCCAGGTAGTGCCACATGGCTTCTATTTGTTGGGGGAAAGTAGGTGATGGCGTTAGCGACAAAAAATTCAAATTTTTTTTGTATTGTTGGTGTCCGTGCACAGTCCACGTGTGTATGTCGTGCGCCAAAGGTAAAAAAAAAATTTGATTTCTTGCGCTGGCGTCATCGGTTACGTCATAGCCCTCAGGTAGAAGGGTGGCCTGATTTTGCCTTGGGCCTTGCCCTGGTTTGTGGAGCTCATCTCTTACCCTGGCAAGAATGGGGCGTTGGAAACACATTTGAGGCCCTGGGGGGCCTCTTGCCCGGACTGGGGCCTCCCGGTAGAAATGCTCTAAAAGGTACAAAATAATAGGAGTGGCATCAATTCGGTCAAACCTATCAAATTTGGTATTGATAACTTATTCAATTATGTTACTTGTTTGTGTTTGTTTTGTGTTACGTCACGTGCCAGCGACATGCTAAGAGTTACATCCCACATTTTATCACATTTTAGAATGACAAGTCTTGCAATAGTGTTTGAAATATTTTGCCTAACATCAACTATTGCGAATCAATTTTGTGTTGGATGCTCCCTTTTTAAATCACAATTTCTTTTTAAACTGAGAAATTAAAGGGGGCATCATTGAGCTGGCATTGAAATTTGTATCCCAGTGACTGACTTTAGGTTACAACTCTAGTTTCTTTTGAACCCAATTTGATTTGGGTTCTGTCCCTATTTTCATTTAAACCGGCCTTTCAATTAGTCAATTTTCATGCGACCAACAACATATGCAATCGTTTCTTTTCGTTCGTCTTTTTTCTTCTTGGCCCAAGAGAAATAGCCCATAAAGTGGCATACCACAAGGGAGCTCGAGAAATCACAAGGCTGGTGTTTCTTTTTCCCATGAAGAATTGAAAAGGCATACGAAGGAAAGCATCACCTATGATATGAACATGTAGATACTTATTTTTTAGTTGAAATTGTTTGCGAACTCGTCATTTGATGAAATATTCTTAGAAAACACAAGTACTTACTGCACCAAACACACGACCTTTGGAAGATAACTACAGAATGAGGTGCAGCATATTAGTTCAAACTTTAGCTACAGATTTAAGTGCAAATACATCAGAGTTCAAACTTAAAATCATAAATCCCAGCTGAGATTCATTTTCCGTCCTGGATTACTTATTTCTTTCCACGCAGTTTCGCTCCAAGAGCTCTCTCCAACTTGGTAATTACCTGCTGATTTGGAATAGCCTTCCCAGATTCATACTCTTGGATCACTTGAGGCTTCTCATTGATAATCTACAAATAACTCCAGATCATCACTAACTATACACAGATGGGCGCGCACGCGCAAGCGTGTATGTGTGTGTGTGTGTGTGTGTGTGTGTGTGTGTGAGAGAGAGAGAGAGAGAGAGAGAGAGAGAGAGAGAATTACTTGAGCAAGCTGAGACTGGGTAAGCTTCTTATCCATTCGAGCTTGCATAATAGCTTTCTTCAGCTCACTTGGCACACGTTCATCTACAAGTCCAAATCAGATGGCATTTAAGCACAAAGCCACATAGTAGAAAAGAGAAAAAAATCCAAGCAAACAACAAACAAATAGCTTTGCAGAATTGGTACAATATATTTCAGCTAAATAAAACACTGAAACAATGGTTCAAAGGAGAAATATTAAACCAGAGAGAGGAGCATAAGTCTGGGCAGGACTATAGGGGGAAAAGTACATAAGGCCAAATGCACACAAACTCACAACATGCACAAAAATACAATACAATTAAAATAGAGAAATGTAAAAGATCAACACCGTAGGCTTCACGTATGGTACGCATGGCCAAGAATGCCTAGAGTCGGGAGCATATTAAAGATACAAGTACCCAAGCTCATCCTTCTTTCAGCATTCTCTCTTACAATGGCACAAGAAAGTAAAGAATTCTATTTCCATCATTACAACTCATAGCATGTCTAAAGCACACTTGTTAAGGTATGATTGCAAGAGTAAGAAAAAAGTTAAAGCAAGCAAACAAGGCAATGAAGAGAATCATGGAATACCGTAATGCACATGCATGATACAAAAACAAATACAACACATGAACTCAATGATGACTACCTGAGCAGACAACCAATGCTGAAAATTCTCATAGAATAACACAACAAGTGAAGGATCTGTTAAGTCAAGCACTATATCACTTTTAGCCTTTTTGTTTTTTTATTGCCCATTCCCTCCAATGCACCTCTGAAAAGCATCTTGGCATCATTACATGTTATGACTACTTCCCTCACATCCCCTTTCATCAATGCAATTCTCATGTTAGAAAAACACTTTGAAGAACAACACACAAATGGTCAAAAAAGACTCCTGCAAGGACAAAATTTTCAGGCAATATGGTGTTCAGGGGCCGGGGGGACGGGCTTTCAGCTGAAAAAGTTGTATGTCACATTAACTGAAGGCTCAATACATAAACATTATATTTATAATAGAAATGAACCATGCAACCAACTTGGCAAAAGAAACAACAGGCCAATTGGGGCAACGCAGGGCGCCTGCCATTGCAAGGTCTTGGGAGGACCTATATACACAGCCTCAACCCCACTTGTAGAGTGGCTATTTCCCATCAAACATTTGTAATGAAACCAAACTTATGACTGCGCCAAGGTTCACCCTCTTTGAAGGAAACAATTGAGCAAGATGTAAACAGATCTATCTGCTTCCATAAGCCAAACCAAACATTTCTAGCAAACTAAGAAAGCACGTTACAATCAACAAGATCTCAGGAAGATTATTTTTCTCATCCAACAAACAAATATAAATTCTCATATGAACGACATGATTTTCTTAACACATAGTACAATGTAAAAACAAACTCACGAGCAAGGTTCTCTGTTTCCTCATCGAGCTTCCTTGTGTTCAAGGTAGTGCTGCTGGAGGCAGCTTTATTGGTCCCAGCAGTAGCTGCAAAGGATAATAAAATAACTATTAGAACTGTAAGTTCTAAAATTATCATATGCAGTGCGCAACCTAAAAGATAAGTAACTTTTATACTTAATCCTAAGTCACCTCAAATGGGAAAAGAAAATTACAACTATAAACATCTGGAAGAGCCATCAAATATATAATAAAAAACACACACACACACACACAAATCCAGAAAACCTTTCGATTTTTAATGTACGGCTTAGTTAATTTGAATACCGTTTGATTCATAAAAAAATAGGTGCAAGGTAATAAAAATCAAAGAAGAAGCCGGAACAATGATTCAAGCAATAACCCAAAGGGAACAAAACGAGCAAGCTACATATAATGGATAAGATCCATCAAAAACAACATGATTACAACTTTATCAAGTGCAGATATCCAACCCAAAAACCAAGGATAACTTATTCTAATTCCAAAAACATAAATAATTGTCTAAACCCACTATCAGATTTTGAAATTATTTCCAGGGTTTTATCCTATCGTTCGCTTCACGAATCACAAAAACAAAAAATCAAGCCCAAAGAACAAGGGGAGTGAGGAAGAAGAAAGGCCGACACAAATGCAACAAGAAAAAACCTTTCTTTAGGGTTTCGATCTCAGCGCCAGAGCGGCGAGCAGCGTTGACAGCTTTCTCATCCTTCTTGGCGGCGGCGGTGGGTGCCTTCTTCCTGATAACCACGGGCTCCCAGTCCTGTGTGATGGGTCCTCCTGACATGGCGATTGGAGATTGGCGATTGGCGATTGGCGATCCGCTGAGGGGTTTGTGGTGTTGTTGTGGTTGGGTTTTCTGGGTTTCTAGGGATTTTGTTTCGGTTGCTATTAAATGTCCAATGGCCTAGACTGCACGCCTGTCTTGTTTTTATAGCTCTGGCCTTTCTGGCCCTCCGGGATTTTTTGTGTTAATCGTTTTGGTCAAAATTGTCAATGTCGGTTTTTGACATTTTGTAATCATTTTTCTTTGCGGGCAAGAATAATAACATACCTGTTGTCTATCTATATATACTACATAATAAAGGAAAATTGGCGACTTTACCCTTGACTCACCTAATTTAATCATTAATATCCTTATTTTGAAACTCCATCACAAATGCCCTTTATAAAAACTCTTTATTGATAGCCTATTGCCCATTCTTCACTTAGTTTTTTTTTTCTCAGTTATTGTTCTTCCTCTTCCTCTTATTCCTTCTGCCAAACCTCATAAAATCCATCCCAACCATAGAATCTCCCCTAACTCTATCTCCTCTTAGTTATGTCTTCCAACTAGGAGCTGATTTCAACCTTAAGGTTGAATCCCAAATTTGGAACCGGACCCTAACCAAGGCACGACTAGCCACGTCCGTTGTCGGCCTCCACAATGAAGCCATAGTCTTGACTTGCCACCTCCGTTGTCGACTTCCCCCACAAAGCCACGGCACCTTCATCGTCGATCTTCACTGTGGTGGGTTTTGATATTGTGTTTGTTTTTGTTTTTTTGTTTTGGGTTTCTTTGATTGATTGAAATTATTGGGTGATTGCTTTCACTGTTTTGAATGAGATATTAATGGGTTTTTGTTGTGGCTTGCTGTTTCTATGATTGAATGAAATTTACCAACTATTTCATGTGGTTGTTAAGCTCTTGGACTTGCATACATTGTTTTGTGCTTATAATTTGTCTTTGAAATGATGTATACACTGTTTTGTGATTGAGATTGGGACTTGCAGATCTCCTTGAAAGTAATGTATTCACTCTTTTGCGTGGTATGATATTCGATATGAAACAATCTTGAACAGTCAAGGTTTGACAGTTTGCAAGTAGTTAGTTAGTAATAGGATACCCTAGGTTAATAGCTTTGGGTTGGATTTAACTTTAAAAGTTCTTAATACTTTAAAAGTTGAAACACAACTATGCTAACTGAACCGTTTCACTTTGCATAATACTGATGTTTTAAAATTGTTAGTTATTGATGTTTAATTGATGTTTTATCTATATGGTTTATCCACTACTTGATAGATTTTTTATTGGTAGCTTAACATGGGTTAACAAAAGGAAATTTTATGATGGTCGGAAATGGACACAATTGCAATTTTTGCTACAATGGAAAATGGGTAACCTCAAAGAAGATGTGCACATATGAAGGGGATGACCCAAAAGGCATAATAGTTTCTCGAAACATCACGTTTGGTGAGCTTTTGGAACGGGTGCATAGGATTGTTAATACAGACAACATATCAAGAAATCATCAATAGTGCATTTGGCATTGTTTAAACAATTAAAGAAGCACAGTCTTAGAGAAGAACAACAACAAAACAATGGAACTAGATAAATGCAAGAGCTGTCAACAAACCTTCAAGTTTTTCAAGAACCCTTTTTAAGGCACCAACACAACCTTGGCATGATACCAACCTTGAGGATTGTGGACCGCACCAAAAACAGATCCAGGATTGAATTACGAAAAAAATAGAGAAAACAAAGATCCAACACATGCCAACTTTACACTATCAAACGTATGTTAAAATATTGGTATTCTCATAAAACTCACGAACTCTCCAATCACTTTCAAAAGAAGTAAAGGATGAGAATCTTGCAATTGTTGGTGGTGTTAAATAACCCGCATTCTAGATCTTGTTCTTTGATGTAACCAACGGCAATAGACTAAACTAGCAAATATTAAAACACTTAGAAACACACAATAATTATACTGGTTCGGCAGAACTTTTGCCTACGTCCAGTTGTGATTTCTCTAGGTAGAGAAATCACCGCTCCTTTGATTAATAATAGAGATTACAGAACTTTTGTAACCCTAGAACTAATCTCAAAACTCTTGGTTGTCTCTGGCTGTTTTTCCTTTCTTTAAAATAAGTCTTGCCACACCCTATTTATAGATATAGAGTTGTCC